TAAAAATTGGAACTAAGAAATTATAAATGACTGTAGCATGAATAACCAAATTATTTATTGTTGTAATTGTAATGTAATAAGAAATACAAATCAAATATATGGTCGAACCGAAGAGGAAGCTGGACAAAGATGGGCATTAATACACAAGAGAGAGTGTGACATATTGGGCTTTTCTGGGCCTGTGTAGCTGTATAAAGAGGCTGTTGGACGGACAGAATTGATGGACAGGAGGGAGGGGAAGAATTGAAGAAACAACAGTGGAAAAATGGAAACAAAATTAATTTTCAAGGTGTGGACATGCCAATGTTGGATCTGAACACTTAGTATTGTTTATGCATTGGTATCTTGAGACGAATAATAAGTCATGGGAGCTATTGGAAAATGGAGGACAAAGCCCAAACACACACTAGGAATAGTCCCTCACGTTCATTTTAGTTGTTATATTTATCTTTTGCACGCCTTAAGAAACTATTAATAAAAAACAGTTTTTCAGCTACTATACCTTATTTACTCTTCATATTTTGGTTTTCTATGCCATGTATTTATGTGTTTTACTTTCAAAAATAATTAATTCTAAGGAGAAAATGGACAATAATAATTTACATCTTGGTTTTCTAAAATGACAAGTACAATCAAACCTCTCTATAACAGCATCCTTATATAATAGTCATTCACTATAACAACCAAGTTTTTCTCGCAACCAATTTTTATGTTATGTTATAATATATTTGCTATATAATAATACTTCACTATAGCAGTAAAAAAAATCGAAACAAACGAGGTTGTTATAGAGATGTTTGACTGTATTTTAGACTAGTTACTTTTAGTAATTTTAGGGCAAAAAAATTAAAATTCGGGCCTGAATCACCTAAAATTTTGTCAGACCATAAAAATGACATTAAGGAACAATAGTCATCCGCTCGCCATGACCGTTCCTTGTTTTTTTGCGTTTTCAGGACACAAAACTGGAATTCCGCTCGATTCTCAGATTTTCGTGTGTTATATCTCACGCCATCTGCATGCATCAGGGAGACTGGACCCGAATCGCCTAAAATTTTGTCGGACCATAAAAAAGACCTAAGGAACAATAGTTATTGCCTCGCCTTGACCGTTTCTCATTTTTTGACGCTTTAAGATCACAAAACTGAAATTCCGCCCGCTTCCCAAAAATGTATGTCATAGCCCACACCATCTACATGCATCTGAGTGACCAGACCCGAATCTCCTAAACTTTTATCGGACCATAAAAAATCACATAAGAAACAATAATCATCGCCTCGCCATGAACGTTCCTCGTTTTTTGGTGTTTCGGGGACATAAAACTGAAATCCCTCCCGATTCTCAGATTTTTGTGTGCTATAGCCCACGTCATCTGCATGCATCCGAGCGAACGGACCCTAACTAAAATTTTGTCAGATCATCAAAAATAACCTAAGAAATAATAGTCATCGCCTCGCCATGACCGTTCCTCATTTTTTGGCGTTTGAGTACCAAAAAACTGAATTTTCGACCGATTCCCAAATTTTCTTGTGCTATAGCCCACGCCATCTTCATGATCCGGGCGATCGAACTCGAATCGCCTAAAATTTTACTGGACCATAAAAACCGACCTAGGGAACAATAATCATCGCCTTGCTATGACCGTTCCTCAATTTTTGGCATTTTAGAGCCATAAAATTAGAGTTCCCCCTGATTTTCAAATTTTCGTGTGCTATAGCCCACGCAATATGCATGCATTTGGGCGACCGGACCCAAATTGGCTAAAATTTTATCGGACTATTAAGAATGACCTAAGAAATAATAGTCATCACATCGCCATGACCGTTCCTCATTTTTTGACATTTTAGGATAATAAAATATGAATTTCGCCCGATTCCCAGATTTTAGTATGTTATAGCCCACGCCATCTGCATGCATCCATGCGACCAGACCTGAATCGCCCAAAATTTTACCGGACCATAAAAAATGACCTAAGGAACAATGGTCATCGCCTTGCCATTACCATTCCTTATTTTTTGGTACTTTAGGGTCATAAAACTGGAATTTCGTCCGATTCTCAGATTTTTATGAGTTATAGCCCACGCCATCTGCATGCATCCGGGCGATCAGACCCGAATCGCTTAAAATTTTGCATAACCATAAAAACGGCCTAACAAACATTAGTCATTACCCGGCCTAGTCGTTTCTCATTTTTTGGCGTTTTAGGGACATAAAACTGAAATTCCGCCAGATTCCCAAATTCTTATGTGCTATATCCCACGCCATCTGCATGCATCCGAAAGACCGAACCCGAATTGCCTAAAAATATTTCGGATCATAAAAAATGAACTAAGGAACAATATTTAATGCCTCACCATTACCGTTCCTCGTTGTTTGGTATATAAAAAATGAACTGGTATTTCACCTGATTTTCATTTTTTTCGTGTGCTATTATAGCCCACGCCATATGCATGCATCCGGGCGACCGGATCGGAATCCCCTAAAAGTTTTCCGGACCATACAAAATGACCTAAGTAGCAATAGTTATTACCACGCCATGACCGTTGCTCTTTTTTCGTGTTTTATGGCCATAAAATAAGAATTTCTCTCGATTTCAAGATTTTCGTGTGCTATATAGCCCACGCCATCTACATGCATCCGGGCGACCGGACTTGAATTGCCTAAAGTTTTGCTGGCATATCAAAAATAACTTAAAGGAACAATAATCATTGCCTCTCCATGATCGTTACTCATTTTTTGGCGTTTTAGTGCCATAAAATTGGAATTCCACCCGATTCCTAGATTTTCGGGCGCCCAGACCCGGAGCATATAAAAATTTGTCGGCCCATCAAAAATGACCTAAGGAACAATAGTCACTGCCTCACTATGATTGTTACTCATTTTTTGGCGTTTTAGGGGCATTAAATTAGAATTCCACCCTATGGCCATATTTTCGTGTCCTATAGTCCACACCTCCTGCATGGGCTCGGAGTCCCGAACATGGATCGACTAAAATATTTGTAGGCCCATAAAAATAATTTATGGAACAATAGTCACCATCTCACCATGACTGTTACTCATTTTTTGGTATTTTAGGGCAAAATAATTGGAATGACAATCGATTCCTAGATTTTCCTGTGTTATAGCCGATGCCTCGCCATCAAAAATGACGTAAGGAATAATAGTTACTACCTCGCTATGACCGTTACTCGTTTTATGGCATTTTAGGGCCTTAAAACTTGAATTGCGATCGGTGGCCAGAATTTCATTTGCTATATCCCACGTCTCCTACTTGGGCCCCTTCGTCCGCACCCGGATCGCCTAAAATTTTGCCGGCCCATAAAATACGATCTAAGGAAAAATAGTCACCGCCTCGCCATGACCATTACTCATTTTTTGTCGTTTTAAGGCCATGGAACTGTAATTCCGCTCGATTCCCAGATTTTTGTGTATTATAGCCCACGCCTCATGCATGGGCTCGGACGCCCGGACTTGGATCGCCTAAAATTTTACAGGCCCATTAAAAATAACCTATGGAACAATAGTCACCATCTCTCCATGGCCGTTACTCATTTTTGTCATTTTAGGGCCATAAAGCTATAATTTCTTCTGATTCCCAAATTTTCATGTGCTATAGCCCACGCCTCCTACAAGACCCCGGCCTCCCGGGCCTGGATCGCCTAAAATTTTGCCGGCCCATCAAAAACGATCTAAGGAACAATAGCCACCGCTTTGCCCTGACTGTTACTCGTATTTGGCATTTTATGGCCATAAAGCTGAAATTGTGCCAGATTTTTTGATTTTCGTATGCTATAGCCCATGCCTCGTGCATAGGCCCGGGCGTCCGGACTCAAATTGACACAAATTTTGCTGGACCATCAAAAACAACCTATGGAACGATAGTCCCTAGCTCGCCATAACCGTTACTCATTTATTAATGTTTTATGGCCATAAAACTAGAATGACGACCGGTAGCGAGACAGTCATGTGTTATAGCCCACGCTTCTACATGGACCTAGGCGCTGGACCCGTATCACCTAAGATTTTTCTCGCTCATCAAAAATGACCTAAGGAACAATAGTCACCACCTCGCAATGACTGTTACTCATATATTAGCATTTTAGGGATATAAAACTTAAATTCCGCCCGATTCCTAAATTTTCATGTGTTATAGCACATACCTCCTGCATGGCCCCAGGCCGGTGACGTAAAAGATATGCCGGTAAATTTTGCCCACCCATCAAAAACGACCTAAGGAACAATACTCACGCCTCGTCATGATCGTTACTCATTTTTTTAGCGTATTAGGGCCATAAAAGTGGAATGGCGATTAGTGGCAAGATTTTCGTGTGCTATATCCCACGCATCCAGCATGGGCCCAGGCGTCCGGATCTGGATTTTCTAAAATTTTGCCCGACCATCAAAAACGACCTAAGGAATATTAGTCACCGCCTAGGACCGTTACTTATTTTTTTGGTGTTTTAGGGCCATAAAATCGGAATGGGTACTGGTGGCCAGATTTTCGTGTGCCATATAGCCCATGCCTCCTGCATGGGCTCGGGCGTCTCGGACTCTGATCATCTAAAGTCTTGCCGGCCCATCAAAAACGATCTAAGTAACATTAGTCAACCATCACTACTAGAAAATTCCTATGGCAACGACTCCAAAAACGGTGCAATAGGTAGGAAAACCGTCGCAATAGACCAATTGCAACGCTTTATAGACCGTTTCATCAAATCCCGTGCCAATAGGTCTACGACAATGGTTGTTGCAACGGTTTGCATAACCGTTACAATAGAAGACTTGTGGCAACGGTTCGACAACAGTTGCAATAGGCTTATCTACTGCAACGGTTGCTCATTCAAATGGAACGAGTATAAACCGTTGCAATATCAGTTTAAGCAACGGTTTATTAGGCTATTGCAACGGTTTAAATTACAGATTGCAATCGTTATTAGGAACTGCCGCATCGATTTATAAGGTTATTGCAACGGTTTTTTTGATGCTATTGAAACAATCTGTTGAGGCTATTGCAACGGTTTCTTATGACTGTGTATAAAAATAAATTTATAATATTGTACAATTCAAAAGCATACTACAACATAAAAGGTTCCTAAAAGATTCTAATACACGAATAATTTTAAGAACAATCCCATAATTCTAAGTAGTACCTTTGACGCTCCATTCACTCTTTGCTCATTCAATCCACCTGTAAAAATAAAAATAAATGATTTAGTAAAACTTTAAAAGTGCAATTTGAGTACTAAAGAACACTCAAAGCAGTCAATAAAGTTTCCCAAATTCAAATTCAAATTAAAATTCAAATTCAAAGCAAACCCAAAGATAAACTAAAGACATTACATGCATATGGCATTTTGTAAGAGAGATCGTTCGTTGCAAATCTGTCCTGAAAAAGCAGTAACCATCATAAAGACCAATAATGTTTTCTTTCCTGTTAGTCCCGCGGAAACTTAAAATTATACTCAAAAATTTTATTTTTCTCATTCACCCTCATTTTAAGACTATTTCATCTTAAATAACAAAAACCTCAACACTTCCATTATAACCATATGTAATAAAATTTTCCATAGCTACGAAATTGAATCAACACAACCAAGGGAGCACTCAAAACTCCACATGCTTCAAGTGTACCACTTTATATTACCTATCTTGTGACAACATATTTAAGAAGTTACTTGCAGCAAAAATGCTTAACTATATATGTAAACAATATGTCAGTTTAGATCTAAAATACAATATCATACAGAAAAAAGTACTAGAATAGTTGAAAGGAGATGGAATACCAGAATAGTTAAAAGGAGATGGAACTCTACTGTCCTAGAGTTTCAAGATCCGATAACTTTTCAAGGAGATGGAGCAGATGCTTCTATTGTGAAGCTTCTTTATCCTGGTAGCTGGATTGCATAACCCTAAGCATCCAAAGCATCCAATCCATACGAATTAGATATATGACTAAGAAAGTTTCAGCCTCGTTTTCTATGCTTCATGAGTCACCTTATAAAAGTTTATGGAGTAGTACTTTTGTATAATGCTTGAGTTAAAATACTGATACATACACATCAATTTTAAGAAACAATAGATTGGCAAATGAAAAAGAAAAAATTACAGCACCATTTCTACGTAGATAGATTCATTATTTTCCTTTAATAGCACTTCTCAATATTGCTAAAGTGTCAGTTATTTTTCATTATGTTTCTAGGTTGATATCCATAGCATGGTCGAAGTTCCTATTTCTGGTCATACTTCAAACTGATATTCAAAGGAGCTAACACTTAATAGATTTTGAGTTGAAACTCACCATTCGTAGGAATATGAGACCGACACTATAGATGTTAAATCTATCTGGACCATTCAGCTGTAAAAAAAAATTATAATAAGCCATGCTAACTAATGAGTAGAGTCAATGAAGATCGATTAAAAGTTCTTGCAAAAAGTGCAAATATAGAAGTTAAAACCAAAGAACTCATCCAATTATGTACTCAAAGTTTCTTCTTATCACTGTTTCATCAAGGTAAATTTTTGAAACCACCGGGAGGAAACATTTTTACAAATATCTGCATAATGACATGGCAAATTTATCCAAGGCTATTAGCTTTGTCTAATTTCATCTGATCATTATGTGCTAAATGTCTCTTTCATCAACTTTAAGAAAATGTAAAGCATTTCTCCCAATTGACCATGACTCTGCCAAATGATATGTGTGAATGCTGAGAGTTACTTGTTTTTTTTGGTATTTTAGGGCCATAAAACTAGAATTTCGCCCGATTCTCAGATTTTAGTGTGCTATAGCCCACGTCTCATGCATGGGCCCGAGCGCCCGGACCTGGATCTCCTAAACATTTGGTTGGCCTATAAACAATAACCTAAGCAACAATATTCACCGCCTTGCCTTGATCGTAACTCGTTTTTTGTAGTTTTAAGGTCATAAAACTTGAATTCTGCTCGATTCCTAAATTTTTGCGTGCTTTAGCCCAAGCTTCATGCATGGGCCCCAGATGCTCGGATCGGATCCGATTTGCCTAAAATTTTATCGTACTTATAAAATGACCTAAGGATCAATAGTCACCGCCTCGCCGTGATCGTTACTCAATGTTTGGTGTTTTAGGGCCATAAAATTGGTATGGCGCCCGATGGCTTGATGTTTCCTGTGCTATAACCCACGCATCCTACATGGGCCCGGGAGCCCCGGCCCGGATAGCCTAAAATTTTGCCGACCTATAAAAAATGACCTAAGAAAGAATAATCACCGCCTCGTCATGACCGTTAATCATATTTTTGCGTTTTAGGGCCATACAACTGGAATTCCGCCTGATTTCCTAATATTCGTATGTTATAGCCCGCACCTCCCACATGGACCCGAGCGCCCGGACCTAGATCACCTAAAATTTTGTCGGCCAATAGAAAATGACCTAAAGAATAATAGTCACTGCCTCGCCATGACCATTATTCGTTGTTAGGCGTTTTAGGGCCATAAAACTGGAATTCCGACTGATTTCAAAATTTTCGTGTGCTATAGCCCACGCCTGCTACATGGACCCGAGCGGCCGGATCCGGATCACCTAAAAAATTTTTGACCCATATAAAATGACTTAAGGAATATTAGTCACTGCCCCGCCATGAACATTACTCGTTGTTAGGCGTTTTAGGGCCATAAAACTGAAATTGCGACCGGTGGCCAGAATTTCGTGTGCTATAACCCACGCTTCCTACATGGGTCCAGACGCCCGTACCCAAATCGCCTAAAATTTTACCGGCCCATAAAAAATGACCTACAGAACAATAGTCACCGCCTCGCCATGACCGTTACTCATTATTTCGCGTTTTAGGGCCATAAAACTGGAATCCGTCTGATTCCTAAATTTTTGTGTGCTATTATAGCCCACTCCACATGCATGCACCCGGGCAACCGGACTCGAATCGCCTAAAATTTTGTCGGATCAACAAAAATGACCTAAGGAACAATAGTTATAACTTCTCCATGACTGTTCCTCATATTTTCGCGTTTAAGGGTCATAAAACTGAAATTCCGCCCAATTTCAAGATTTTCATGTGCTATAGCCTACGCCATCTATATGCATCAGGGCGACCGAACCCGAATTGCCTTAAGTTTTGTCGGCACATCAAAAATGACCTAATGAGCAATAATCACTAACTCTTCATGAGCGTTACTCATATTTTGATATTTTTGGACCATAAAACTAGAATTCCCCCAAATTCTCAGATTTTCGTGTGCGTCCATGCCTCATGCATGGGTCCGGGCGCCCGGATCCGGATCACCTTAAATTTTGTCGGACCATCTAAAATGACCTAAGAAATAATTCACCGCCTCGCCATGACTGTTACTCGTGGTTTTGGAATTTTAGGGCCATAAAACTGGAATTTTGCCCTATTCCCATATTTTCGTATGCTATAGTCCACGCCTCCTGTATGGACCCGAGCACGCGGACCCGAATCCCCTAAAATTTTACCGGACCATAACAAATGACCTAAGAAATAATAGTCACTGCCTTGGCATAACTTTTACTCGTTGGTAGGTGTTTTAGGGTCATAAAATTGGAATAGCGACCGGTGGCTAGATATTTGTGTGCTATAGCCCATACCTCGTGCATGGGCTTGGACGCCCGGAACCGGATCGTCTAAAATGTGTTTGGCCCGTAAAAAATGACTATGGAATAATAATCACCGCCTCACCATGACCATTACTCGTTTTATAGTATTTTAGGGCCATAAAACTGGAATTGAGATTGGTGACCAAATTTTCTTGTGTTATACTCCACGCCTCCTACATAGGCCCGGACCCGGATCGCCTAAAATTTTGCCAAACCATTATAAACAGCATAAGGAACAATAGTCGTCGCCTCGCCATGAGCGTTACTCATTTTTTGGCATTTTAGGGCCATAAATCTGGAATGGCGACAAGTGGTAAAGTTTCCATGTGCTATAGCCCATGCCTCCTGCATGGGCCCTGGCGCACGGACCCGGATCGCCTAAATTTTTGCCGACCCATCAAAAATGACCGAAGGAACAATAGCCACCACCTCGCCATGAGCGTTACTCACTTTTTGGCGTTTTAGGGCCATAAAATTGGAATTTCTCCCGATTTCCTGATTTTCATGTGCTATTGCCCACGCCTCCTGCATATGCTCGGGCACCCTGGATCTCCTAAAATTTTGTCGATCCAGCAAAAATAACCAAAGGAACAATAATCACTATCTCGCCATGCCGTTACTCATTTTTTGGAGTTTTAGGGCCATAAAAATGGAATTCCATCCAATTCCCAGATTTTCGTGTACTATAGCTCACGCCTCCTGCTTGAGACCAGGCGTCGGGACCCGTATCGCCTAAAATTTTATCGGCCCAAAAAAATGACCTAAAGAACAATAGTCACTGCCTCGCCATGGCAGTTACTCGTTTTTGGTATTTTATAGCCATAAAATTAGAATTCCGCCTGATTCCCAGATTCTCGTATGCTATAGTGCACATCTCCTGCATGGGCCTAGACACCAGAACCCGGATCATCAAAAAACACTTCGGCCCAGCAAAATGACCATAGGAACAATAGTCACCGCTTCGCCATGACCGGTACTCAGGTTTTGGAATTTTAGAGCCATAGAACTGGAATTCCGCCCTATTCCCATATTTTTGTGTGATATAGCTCACACCTTCTGCATGGGCCTGAGCACCCGTACCCGAATCACCTAAAATTTTGTCAGTCCATCAAAAATTACCTAAGCAACAATAGTCATAGCCTCTCCATGACCGTTACTCATTTTTTAATGTTTTAGGGCCATAAAACTGGAATTCCACCCGATTCCCTAATTTTCGTGTGCTATAGCTCATGCCTCCTGCATAGGCCCGGGCACCCAGTCCCGGATCACGTAAAACTTTGTCGACCCATAAAAAATGACCTAAAGAACAATAGTCACCACATTGCCATGACAGTTACTCATTTTTGGCATTTTAAGGCCATAAAAGTAGAATTCCGCACGATTCCCAGATTTTCGTATACTATAGCCCACGTCTCCTGCATGGGCCCGTGCGCCCGGACCCGAATAATCTAAAATTTTGTCGGCAATCAAAAACAACCCAAGGAACAACAGACACTGCCTCTCGATGACCATTACTCATGTTTTGGTGTTTTAGAGCCATAAAACTTGAATTCCGTCCGATTCTCAGATTTTCGTGTGCTATAGCCGACGCCTTTTGGATGGGCTCGGGCGACCGGACCGGAACGACTAAATTTCTTTTGGTCCATAAAAAATGTCCTAAGGAACAATAGTCATTGCATCGCCATGACCGCTACTTGTTGTTTTGCGTTTTAGGGCCATAGAATTAAAATTCTGCCCGATTTTCAGTTTTTCGTGTGCTATAGCCCATAGCTCCCGCACGGGCCCAGGACGCCCTGACTGGGATCGTCTAAAAATTTTTTAGCCCCTCAAAACTGACCTAACAAACAATAGTCACCGCCTCGCCATGAGTGTTACTCATTCTTTTGGCATTTTAGGGTCATAAAATTTTATTGTAGATTTTCGTGTGCTATAGACCACGCCTCCTGCAAGGGCCCGGAAGACTGGACTCGGATCGCGTAAAATTTTGTAGGACCATTAAAAATGACCTAAGGAACAATAGTCACTACCTCGCCATGACCGTTACTCGTTTTTAGAATATTATGGCCATAAAACTGGAATTTCTTCTAATTCCCAGATTTTCGCGTGCATAGCCCACGCCTCCTGTATGGGACCGGGTGCCCGGACCAGGATTGCCAAAAATTTTCCGGCCCAGCAATAAGGACTTAAGGTACAATGGTCTCCGCCTTGCCTTGACCGTTACTTACTTTTTGGCATTTTAGGGTCATAAAATTAGAATTTCGCCCGATTCTCAAATTTGAGTGTGCTATAACCCACGTCTCATGCGTGGGCCCGAGTGCCTGGACCCGGATGTCCTAAAATTTTGGTTGGCCTATAAACAATAACCTAAGAAACAATATTCACCGCCTCGCCGTGATCGTAACTCATTTTTTGTAGTTTTAAGGTCATAAAATTTAAATTCTGCTCGATTCCTAAATTTTCGCGTGCTTTAGCCCAAGCTTCATGCATGGGTCCCGGATGCTCGAATCCGATTTGCCTAAACTTTTATCTTACATAAAAAATGACCTAAGGATCAATAGTCACTGTCTCGCCATGTTTGGTGTTTTAGGGCAATAAAATTGGTTTGGCGGCTGGTGGCTTGATGTTTCTAGTGCTATAACCCACGCATCCTACATGGGCCCGGGTGCCCTCGCCCGGATAGCCTATAATTTTGCCGACCTATAAAAAATGACCTAAGTAACAATAGTTACCACTGCGCCATGACCGT